TTATTACATATATATAATATAAACTCAAAGAAAAATATTAGTATTTAATGGATGTATGGTATTTTTCGAAACACTTTCCAAGATGTAAAGGTACTTGGCAAAGAGAACACATAAAGCTACTCTCACTTCTTTTTTTGCTAGCAGAGCAAACTTTGCATGGACGACGTACATATCTGTTTTTGTTCCCGGATCCAATAATTCGAGTAACGTTGTGCTTCTTCATATCACCCGATAGTCTCTCAGGGTGATCATATTTTGGCGTGCGAGGTGTAGGAACTAATACAGAAGGTTGTTCGCCACAAACATTCGGTACATCTTGAGTATTTGTATATTCCTCGATCCACAAAAGTGCAACAGCATGTAAAAATTTCTGATATTTCATAGTGTTACCATTGAACTCAACATATAATCTATATGCATTGAACAACGCGCAGTTTAAAAGAAATAAAACTGTTTTTTTGTGTCCATTTTACGGTTTTCCTCATAATGGAAAAATATGATAAAAACTGATGAGCCAAATCTACGCCCATCATATATTTGTTATAATCTATGACCGATTGAGGTTTTATAATTTCTTGTTTTGTTTTCCAATGTACTTTTTTTGTGTTTGTTAGTTCTCCCGAATGTATTGTAGAAACCATGTATACGACTTTGCGTTTTGGCTTCCATGCCTGTACTAAAATTTCATTTTTTCTTTTAAATGTATAATCTCCAGTTTTTAAACTGATATGCTTCATAGATTCTGGAACACCTCTATTCGCTCTAATTGTACCGCAAACTCGTGTGCCATTTTTCAGAAGCAATTCTGCGGTACGAATATTGTTATAGTAATTATCCATGTATACATGATATCCCAAACCTATATTTTTATCGAGCAACGACATTATAGTTTGGTCCAGTTTTCTGCCGTCCGCACAATATATTTCCAAGTTGCAAATATATCCACTTCTGGCTTCACATAACATACGACAAAGCAGGTCATACTTTACTATCTTTGCTGGATTGTACGTTTTTATAGACAATTTTCCACGCCACGGAATAATGGATTCGTCAAGCGAAAGCTCTTTTTTGGGAGTGTATACTGATTTAAATTTATCTAATAAATAACTTAGTATCGGTTGAATCTTTTCGAACTTATTAGAACCAGCTGTTGTAGAATTACTCGAAAAATGCCATGTGTCCCAAATCTGGCGAAATCTGTTACGCGACATAACCGTGGAGAACGATGGTGTTTTGGTATAAAACTCTGAGGACCAGTAATCATCTTTTCTATCTTTCTTTACTTGGCCCATCAATATAATCAAACCAAGAAATTTCTTCATGTCGGCTAGAGAAACATCATTCCACTTAGGCATTTTTTTACCCTTACACAACTTGTCCTTATTCTGGTGATAATAGATGTTTGATTCATTTACCATCAATTGAAATAAATCATTGCCAATAAACATTTCCACAATTTCTTTTATGCTTTGCTTATTAGCAGGAAGAACTTTTGGACCAGATTGCGCAATAAAATCTGGTACATTAGGAACTTTATCAACATCTGACAATGATTCAATATAACTATGTGATTCTGTAAACATTTCATTATCACTCAGACTATCGAAATCACTGGAATACTGTAATGGAACAGCTGTCGATCTTCTTCTTGGCATCACATCACTATCACTGTCCTCGACCTCTATATCAGAATCTTCTGATTGTATTGAATAATCTAATAGAGGATCAGCAATATAGTCAGTAAATTCACTCATATTAGAGCGGTAAAAATGCACAGAATAAGAAGGCTTATTATGTTGTTCAACTAAAAACGTAAGGGTATGAAAGATGTACTGGCTACGGAATACGATGCTCAAGAGTGACTGTTGTTTGTACTTGTTCCTGAACCATCGTATACATTTTGTTTCGACGTAATAAAAAATGCAGATCGGCGTAGTCATGACGACAGCAAACAAATCACCAAACAAAACAATGTTGCATTATCGCAGAGCCGGCGCTGAAACGACAGACCTCGAAACCCGCGTTTTCGCGGGGCCGGCGCTCAAGCGATAGACTTTGGATAGACTTTGAATCCCGCGTTTTCGCGGGGCCGGCGTACAATGTGTTAACTTACGTTGTCCGTAGGCCGCGCCTCTTCTTTATTGCTGTCTTTATTATCATTTTTCTGGTTTCCCTCCTTTTCCTCCTTTTGTTCATCATATTTTCTTGTATTGTTTTCTTGACTATGTTCGACAATTTCCATCGGTAAATAAAATGATTTATTTATTGTTTTACCGTAATGTAATAATTTATTATTGTAATCTTAATATTATTTTATTATTGTTGTTGTTTCGGTTGAATCTTTGCATAAGGCGCCAATCCTTCGGACATGATTAACAAAATTAAACAATTACTAGAAAACACGAATACAGAATTTAATAACTCAAGCCTTTTAACACAAAATTGTACAGAGTTAAACAGGTAGATTTTACACAAATTTTACATATTTTATAACCAGTTCACGACGAGCACTTGTAATTTTAACAAAAGTACAAAATTACTAAGCCTAATGTTAGAAAATTCCCAGTAAATTCCCAATAAAGCAGGGATAACGGGCATAGCAGGGATAATGGCCGTCCTACGACGACCACCGCGGGGTAGAGGCCTGACGCTGTGTCGTCCGGGCCATAAAACAACTCTGGGACCTCAAGTTTCGCGGGGACTAGGAAACGGGAAGATGACATTCGTCTAAAGACCTTTGGAGGGCATTCTTCTACAGACTTTTGAAAGACATTCTTCTCTCGAGGACACTACTTCGCCCACGGAATCGGCTTATAGAATATATATAGAATTTTTGAAATCGAACTTTTAGTTAGCGTTTCAATCATTTTCTACCTTGTCTTACACTACGGAGTTCTCTGTTGGCGCCGAAGAAGTTAGTGCCCTGATCGCTATAGATGGACGTGCATTTTCCCCGGCGAGACGTGAAACGACGGTAAGCTGCTAGAAAGGCCTCTGTGGTATAGTCTGAGACTAATTCCAGATGAACTGCACGTGTTGATAAACGGACAAATATCGCGACATAAGTTTTACGCGTCTTAAATCCGCGACCAGCCGAAATTTTTGTGAGAAACGGTCCTGCGTAATCCACACCGGAATGCGAGAATGAACGAGAAGGCTGTACGCGGGGAGCGGGGAGATTTCCCATTTGTTGACGCTCGAGTCTAGCATGCCAACGCCAGCGAATTGTACATGTGTTGATATAGTCTCTTACTGCACGTCTACCACACAAAATTCAGTAATTTTGTCGCAAAGTGCTCAAGGTGAGTTGAATTCCTCCGTGCAGCGTTTTAAAATGTGCCTCTCGTATTAATAAAATGATTATCTGTCCGTGTTCTGGTAGAACAATGGGATGTTTTTCGCGATCGTCTACCAAGGAGTGACTTAATTCGACTGCCAACCCTAATAAGCCCTTGTGGGTCGAGAATGGTGCCAACCACGCAAGAGGACCTCGGGAGACGGAGACGTTTTGCGCCAAGGATTGCCTTTCCTGGGGAAACCACGTTTTTTGAGCAACGCGAAGAACGGTAAGTCTAGCAGAATGTAATTCCTGTGCTGATAAAACAGAGCTTTTCTCTGATGACGTCGACCCTTTAGCGTTTGTCGCGAAGCGTAAGCACCAACTTACTGTTCTACATAGTCTATCCATTGACGAGAACCTGTTTATCAATTCCTCCCAAAACGAGATTCCGGATATTGCTAAGCAGGTTAGTTTGTGTGGACGGAGTTCGTGATTCGTGAGTAAATTTCTTAGTACGTGCGATTCTAGATTGTAAGAATGTTCTGAAAGAAAAGTCAATCCTTTTCACCATAGAGTATTATTTAAAATTAATTTTCCAGATTGCCCTTGCGACGCAGTATCGGCCGGATTCTCTGCCGATCGAATGTGACGCCAGCACGCTTCGGGCAACGAAGTTTGTATTTCCGCCATCCTACTTGCAACGAACGTCTTCCACTTCGTTGCAGCCAGCTTAGCACTATGGAGGAGTCGGACCAGAGATGCAGTGTGCACCTAGATAAGTTGAGCGTATTTTTCACAATTAGCATTAAATGAACAAGTAACGTTGCTGCGCAAAGTTCAAGTCTTGTCAGTAGGGAAACTTGTTTTAACGGAGCTACTCGCGTTTTGGAAGTGACTAAAGTGATCAGAGGAGTAGAGTTACCCAGTATTCTTAAGTAAATGACGGCGGCGTATGCCTTTTCTGAAGCATCTGCGAACCCGAGAAGTTCAAATGCTCTTTGCTCTTTACGTTGAGCCATCGAAGGATTTTCAGCGAAGAAAGCGTACTTAATTCAGCGTGATATTCCAACCAAAAGTTAACATGAAGGCTTGGCAACGGATCGTCCCACCCCAGTTTTAAGAGCCAAAGTGACTGGAGGAATATCTTTGCGAAAGTTATAACTGGGTCCAGTAAACCCAAGGGAGCGAAGAGTCTAGCGATCTTCCTGAAGACGCTTCGTTTTGTAACAGTTCCTGTTTCATCTCAGTTTTTTCTCAAAATTGCAGGACAACTCCGACCGTTTAGCGACAACGTCTGCTGGTAAGCAATGTAATAGCTCAGGAGTATTCGAGGATCATTTTCTCGAATTAAAGCCGCCTGCCCTGGTCAATCCGATAGCTTCGGTCATTAATTGTTCAGCCTCCGCGATCGAATTAGCGCCTGACACTAGATCGTCTACGTAAGCGTCCGGATTTATGCAGCTAGCAGCTAACGGATAGTTTTTTCCTTCATCGTGACATAATTAACGAAGAACTTCGATAGCGAGGTACGGAGAGCATGCTAACCCAAGTTACAGTTAGCAGCCGAAATTCAGAAATGGGTTCCTCTGGTTTTCTCCGCCAGATAATTTTTTGAAATTCGCAATCTTCTTTCGCGACGCGAATTTGGCGATACATTTTCTCAATGTCAGCTGAGAAAACTATAGCGTGTAATCGCCATCGAAGTAGTATTGAAAAAATATCCGGAAGCAAGTTAGGGCTCTTATATAAAATGACGTTAAGTGATATGCCAGTGTTCGTTTTTCGTGAAGCGTTGAATACAACTCTTACTCGCGTTGTACTACTAGACTCGCGTAAAACTTCATGATGAGGAAGGAAAAAACTAAGTCCTGAAATGCAGGATTGATCGGTAGCTAATTCCATGTGCCCTAGCTGCTCGTATTCCCGTAAAAATTCTCCGTAAGCTGTTCTGAGATCCGCGTTTAGTTTCATGCGACGTTCGAGCGATTTAAATTGAGCTAATGCAGCTGATTTGGACTCTCCTAGTTTTTGAGGCGAAGTAGACAAAGGTAACCGCACCACATATGTACCTTCCAGATTTATTGCAACAGTGTGTTTTGAGAAAATATTCCTCACGATATGTACTTTTCCTCATCAGACATAGCTTGCTGAGTAGTTACGACTTCCTCTATATTCCAGAATTTGCCTACCGATTCCGCCAGTTCGCTTTCAGCCGTGGAGCACTGCAAAGAAGTTACGGGCTTTAATTTTTCCTCTGCTTTCGAGCTTTCAAAAAAGGTCCAGTTACAATCCATCCAAGCGAGGTGGCTTGCGCTATTGGGCCAAGAGAAGACCCATTTCTTAGACCAGGTCTAATAATTTGAGCATAAACTTTAGCTCCAAGAATTATGCTTATTTTGTCGGACGACTAGTATTCCGGATCGGTTAGTTCTAACCCTTCTAAATGGGGCAAAGAAGTGCACCCATTTAATCTTGATGGTTGATAAGTAGACAACTGAGGCGGAATGTACGCTGATAGCGTATAAGAAGTTACATTATCCAGAAGTGACGATACAGTTAAAGAGACCATATCTCTTGTCCGGGTATTCCTATTACCGACTCCAGTCACCGAAATGTGGGAAGGTTTTCTGCGAAGTTGCAGTAGTTAGACGACGCTCTCTTTCACCAAAGAAACTTCGGAGCAAGGCTCAATCAACGCTCACAGAACAATTCGTTGTGCCTTTTCCGACTACACATAGAGCTTCGCCGTCGCCAGCACTACTGACAACGAAAAAATAGTGGAAGACGACGTTAGAGCGCAATGAATCTCTTTGCTTGAATTGACCAAAAGGGGTTGAGTACTCCTCTCTACAATTTTCCTATGGCGGGAAAGGTACCTGCTGAGAAGAAATAGGCAAAGCAGTTTGTGCGTTACAGATATAAACAGAGATGTGATGCTTATGTAACGACTCTGGAACCTAGGTTCACATGTTGCAAGCGCTCGTGAGGTAAAGAGCGGCTTTTACCTATTGAACGACTCGTTTTTCGCAAATAACTAAATGTAAAGAATGTGGGATTCGTGTGATGCACGGTTAATGCGGTTAAGGAGTGAAATCCACAGGTCAATATCTTTCAACAATAAGGTTTATTCAATAAAACAATAAGAAAAATGAAACTAACAAATAACAATAAAACGATAAGAAAAATGAAATTAACAAATAACAATAACAATAACAACAAAAATAATGAACAGTATATAGATTATAAATGATTAATTAGAACAAAAGAAACTAAATAGATTTTGATTGATAATAACAAGAACTCAAAACGAAATAGTTAGAGAATGTAGATTGTATTTAACAAAGTGTAATTCGCTAGTTAATACTTTATGTTAAATCGTACCTAAGTCTGATTCTTGGATAAAGTTAACTACGCTCTTATAAAATTAACTAAATTTGATATTCTGTATGATCCGATTCTCTTTTCCGAAGCTATCGCAATGACAAGATTTCACTTGATTAATACGTTTATAATTTATACTGAATCCTATCTAACAAGTGTGATTCGGTTTCCGAATTGTTATAAATGTGCTTTTGCAAAATTAATAATATTACCGCGTTATAGTGTACCGCAGCGAGGAATGCGACCTAAGTGTGATTCTCTAAGTGTATCTAAATACGC